GTTAAAGGGATACTATAGTCACCTGAACAACTTTAGTTTAATGAAGCAGTTTTGGTGTATAGAACATGCCCGTGCAGCCTCACTGCTCAATCCTCTGCCATTTAGGAGTTAAATCCCTTTGTTTATGAACCCTAGTCACACCTCCCTGCATGTGACTTGCACAGTCTTCCAAAAACACTTCCTGTAAAGAGAGCCCTATTTAGGCTTTCTATATTGCAAGTTCTGTTTAATTAAGATTTTCTTATCCCCTGCTATGTTAATAGCTTGCTAGACCCTGCAAGAGCTTCCTGTATGTGATTAAAGTTCAATTTAGAGATTGAGATACAATTATTTAAAGGACCACTATAATGCCAGGAAAACATACTCGTTTTCCTGGCACGATAGTGCCCTGAGGGTTCCCCCACCCTCAGGGTCCCCCTCCCGCCTGGCTCTGGAAAGGGGTTTAAACTTACCTTTTTCCAGCGCTGGGCGGAGAGCTCTCCTCCTCCGTTCCGCCCCGTCTGCTGAATGCGCACGCGCGACAAGAGCTGCGCGCGCATTCAGACAGTCGCATAGGAAAGCATTTACAATGAGAAGCACGATGAGACAGCCACTAGAGGCTTTGGGGGAAGGCTTAACCCATTAATAAACATAGCAGTTTCTCTGAAACTGCTATGTTTATGAAAAAATGGGTTAACCCTAGCTGGACCTGGCACCCAGACCACTTCATTAAGCTGAAGTGGTCTGGGTGCCTAGAGTGGTCCTTTAAGGTAAATTACATCTGTTTGAAAGTGAAACCAGTTTTTTTTTCATGCAGGCTCTGTCAATCATAGCCAGGGGAGGTGTGGTTAGGGCTGCATAAACAGAAACAAAGTGATTTAACTCCTAAATGACAGTAAATTGAGCAGTGAAATTGCAGGGAAATGATCTATACACTAAAACTGCTTTATTTAGCTAAAGTAATTTAGGTGACTATAGTGTTCCTTTAAGTACTGCAGTCTGTTTACTATCTATAGAAATTTGCCAAAAAAGAAAACATTACGCATAAATAATAGGTTTGTGCTGTGACTGTAAATTTTTTCCAGCTCTTGGGCTCCCATAAAATGAGGCAAACAGGGTATTTGCCTGGGCATTTGGGGGCGGTGTTTTTTGCCGCCCCCTGGAAATTGCCGCCCAAGGCAAATGCCTTGTTTGCCTCGCAGTACACACACCATTGGCATGGGGTTTTGCCCATTCTGGCAGAAGATTCTTTCTTTTATACTGGCATTTTCTGACAAACATCCACCTTTGCAGAGTTTGTACTCCACCATGATTACACCAACAAACAGCGCCAGGGCAAAATTCCTAGTTGACCTGGCACCTGAGATTTATCGAGCGTTGTTCTAAGTTTAAGGGTGGTTTTTTTTGTGTATATTTAAATTGTGTGACTCAACAGCTCAATAATTACCGTATAACTGTATGCATTAGTTTGTTTAAAAAAAAAAGAGGTGGAAGATGTAAAACAGAACAAAACCATGTTCTTCATATGTCATTATTACAAATGGCATATCCATTTGCTGAATGTAATGCAAGATGTACTGCTGTAATTTACCAATAATGCTCAATAAAACATTGCTTTACAATTAAAATAGATAGGAGGGTGGTGGGATGGTGTAGTGATTTAGCCTTTAGATTGGCATATTCATTTGTAATCTCCCCCATGCCAAAAGTAGCCAGCCCTCCTCTGCTGAAATCAGTACTCTGCTTAGAATTGCGATATTTATGCCAGTAAAGGCATTACAATATACGAATGCATGTCTGTTTGTTTAAAACTATCTTTACAGTATCCTGCAAAGGAATTGATGCACAGATTGTATTGTGCCTAAATAGTACTTTTTCTGAAAGCTGAGAAAAAAAAATATAAATAGCACTAACCTTAGTTTAGCTCATTTTAGTAAAAGAGAATTTAAAATTGTAATTTGCTATGGGTACAAAAATGTAACATACCATATGATGTCTCATTCCTTTCAGGAATCACTCCTGATTCTGGGTACAGACGGCTGCAGTAATTGATAGGTATTCACTGTTTCCTGCAGCAAGAGCAGTATTTAGTATTTTCATAGGTAATCTGTGATAAGTACTCCATCTAGAATCCTCTACATCTTAGCGGAAGAATCCAAACCACATAAGCCTTCTGTAGTCGTTATGGTGTCAAGAGTGGCCTGGCCACTACTGCACATTGTAGTGGTTGTGGTGCCTAGTGTGTTGCTTTAAACCAAGGTCTCATTGTGGTAGTTGATAGAATAAACTTTTGAAAAGCTGATTGTAAATTGGTATGCATTGACAAGTGACTATTTTACACTGTTCAAGCAAAATCTTTATTTTAGATTTAGCCTCTATTAAAGAAAATGTTAAAATAACATGTTTTTTAGTTTTATAAATAAAATACAGGAATATATTTTATAAATAAAATACCTGAACTTTACAACAACAAAAAAAACATGTTAGTCTAACCTTCTTTTTTATTTTATATATATATATATATATATATATATATATATATATACTGCTCAAAAAAATAAAGGGAACACTTAAACAACACAATGTAACTCCAAGTCAATCACACTTCTGTGACATCAAACTGTCCACTTAGGAAGCAACACTGAGTGACAATCAATTTCACATGCTGTTGTGCAAATGGGATAGACAACAGGTGGAAATTATAGGCAATTAGCAAGACACCCCCAATAAAGAAATGGATCTGCAGGTGGTAACCACAGACCAATTCTCAGTTCCTATGCTTCCTGGCTGATGTTTTGGTCACTTTTGAATGCTGGCGGTGCTTTCACTCTAGTGGTAGCATGAGACAGAGTCTACAAGCCACACAAGTGGCTCAGGTAGTGCAGCTCATCCAGGATGGCACATCAATGCGAGCTGTGGCAAGAAGGTTTACTGTGTCTGTCAGCGTAGTGTCCAGAGCATGGAGGCGCTACAAGGAGACAAGGCAGTACATCAGGAGAAGTGGAGGAGGCCGTAGAAGGGCAACAACCCAACAGCAGGACCGCTACCTCCGCCTTTGGCAAGGAGGAACAGGAGGAGCACTGCCAGAACCCTGCAAAATGACCTCCAGCAGGCCACAAATGTGCATGTCTGCTCAAACGGTCAGAAACAGACTCCATGAGGGTGGTATGAGGGCCCGACGTCCAAAGGTGGGGGTTGTGCTTACAGCCCAATACCGTGCAGGACGTTTGGCATTTGCCAGAGAACACTAAGATTGGCAAATTCGCCACTGGCGCCCTGTGCTCTTCACTGATGAAAGCAGGTTCACACTGAGCACATGTGACAGACGTGACAGAGTCTTGAGATACCATGGAGAACGTTCTGCTGCCTGCAACATCCTCCAGCATGACCGGTTTGGCAGTGGGTCAATAATGTGTGGGGTGGCATTTCTTTGGCGGGCCGCACAGCCCTCCATGTGCTCGCCAGAGGTAGCCTGACTGCCATTAGGTACAGAGATGAGATCCTCAGACCCTTTGTGAGACCATATGCTGGTGCGGTTGGCCCTGGGTTCCTCCTAATGCAAGACAATGCTAGACCTCATGTGGCTGGAGTGTGTCAGCGGTTCCTGCAAGACGAAGGCATAGATGCTATGGACTGGCCCGCCCGTTTCCCAGATCTGAATCCAATTGAGCACATCTGGGACATCATGTCTCGCTCCATCCACCAACGTCACGTTGCACCACAGACTGTCCAGGAGTTGGCAGATGCTTTAGTCCAGGTCTGGGAGGAGATCCCTCAGGAGACCATCCCCCACCTCATCAGTGAAGTTTAATTCTTGCATGCAAAATAACATATAAGGGTAGATCGATGTTTTGGCAATTCGTCAGTGCACAGCAAAATGTTGTGATGTGTGGCTTGTAGTTCTTGCATGAACAATAAACACTTTAAAAAATAAGGAATTTTATTTAAAAAATAAACAAATTACAACGTGCAATATTTTGTTTTGTAACTTTTAAATAATTTATTTAAATCCAAGACATTTTAACAATCAGGACTAAGTAGAGATTCTATTTTGAGTTGGTTTTCTAGAGTTGCACTTGGTGTGCATAAATCAGGGGTAGTAAACCTGGTCCCTACTGCCCACTAGTGGGCGGTTTGGGATTTCAGGTGGGTGGTGGTGGGTTCTGCAGAAAACGCCCAGTGGGCCTCTATGACCGTGGACCAAGGCCGGCAGAGGAGATCCTTTAATCTCCCCTGCTGGCCCATGCAGAGCCAGCCTTGCCCTCTCGGGCTGGTGAAGAGATCACCCTTACTGGCCCACTGGCACTTTGTTACAGCAGAGGGAGGGAAGGGCCTGGGAGGCTCTGTGTTCCTCTTACAAGCAGGATGGTCGGAGCGTTGCCACATGTTACCATGACAACCCTCCAATGCAGTGCTGTGCTCTCAGGAGGACAGGAGAGGCAGCCTGCAGCTGGAGAAGCTGCAGGCTAAAGTGAACATGCCACCACTGGACCACCAGGGCTTGCAGCAATATGTCCCCCATCCCTGGTAAAAGGTAATAAGAAGGGAGTGTGAGACATTAAGATACATTTTCACATCTCACCCACCTACACACAGCATAGACTGTATTCACCCTTCACACACAAGCACACACTACAGCCTTAAAAAACACTGCCCCCTTCACACACACTGCACCACTCACCGACATACAGCACCTCTCTCACACACACACACATACTGCCCCCCCCACTCAAACACACACAACACCTCACAGACACACACAGAAGAAAAACATAGAATATAAAATAGGAAAAAAAGGAAAAATAGATAGTATAAAAAAATAGATGTACAAAAAAAGTACTTTTTTTTTTTTATATCAAATATGCAATTGCACTATAAAACTTAGTTATTGCGGCATTGGTGGGCGGTAAGGAAATTTTACCATCAACAAATATACAAAAGTGGGCAGTAGGTGTTAAAAGGTTGACTACCCCTGGCATTAATTATTAAATATAAAACTGAGGGAAAATGTGCTATACACATTGTGTGTGTGCGCGCCTTTGTATGTGTGTGTATATATATATATATATATATATATACACACACACACACACACACACACACACACACACACACACACACACACACACTCTGCTTAATCAGAAAGTGTGAAATTGTGGTAGTGCCAAAAAGGCCGTGGTCACAAAATAGCCTTAAGGGATTAAAATAACAAAGCAAAACACATTTTCCTGAATATATTGATCTAGTAGTATGGGTTGCTGATACAACAGGAAAATCCATCTTAAACAGGTGAAAGAATTCAGTTGTGCAACCTAATCGATTGCTTTTCCGTGACTACGTTTTGCATGTTTATGTCTGTTAAAGCAGATTATATGAAAATAAAGGTTCCAACTCAACGCATAGTATTTTTCTTTGCCCACTAGATGGCAAACTTAACATAGTACATACAAAAAAAAAAGAAAACTCTATTGTATACCATATACTTGCAACATATTTTTGAGTGTGCATTATTGTACATGGTTGAATTTTACTATTGAAGTTCGAGAAAAAGTATAATTTTAATCAAGTCTTTACCACAAATCTAGTCTCACATTTCATTAATCAGTAAAGAAAAAAACTTCCTTTAGTGAAAGATGCAACTTTAGAATTTAATTTGTGGGGTTGGGGGAGTTTTTAGTTCTCCTATTTGTGTGTAGGTGAGAATTCCAAAAGGTGCTGTTTAAAGTGCACAAAATATGTTTACCTTTAAATTTCAAGGTATGTCATTGTTAAGCTTAATTTACTACGGACATTCTTAAGTGAACATTGTTTAAAACATTATTTTATCTGAAATCTAGGCATTATAATGCAAAGTATGTATTTGTGTTTAATCTGTCTAGGTGTTTTTTTTTTGTTTTTTTTCTTGTTTTGTCTTGTATAGTTTTTTACTTACAAGTTACTCTTTTATTGCAGGACAGAGAAATCAACTGACCAAGTAATGAAGCCTGTGAATCTAGAGGCTTTGTCAAAATGGGTCGGAAAGCTTCCTGTGGACATAGTAGAAGACATGCCTCGCATTGCACCCATGCTTGCTAGACTTGGGTACGATCCTTTTGCAAACCCCCCCAGATATGGAAGTCCAGATGCTATGGTGGTCAACAATACACACAGAGTGAGTATTCTTTTTTTTAAATTTGCTGTCATCTGAATGCAGAGGCCACAAATCTGGTCTGGTGATTTAGATTAGAATACACACAGATTACTAAATCTTATAATTGATAAAAGTGTATCACAAATAAGTGGTTACATCAGCTACCATTTACCGGTAAGATGCATTGTATAGCCTGCTTGCATTTACTTGTGTGCTGTTACTTGTAAGTGAAAATAAAATTAATAAGACTGTCATTATGTCATTGTTTTAGAAGAGTTTTTTTGTATTTAAATTATGCCTGTATGGGACGTGGAAAGTTATAACCAAGCTGGCACTATACAAGAAGGTCATTAAATGTGCTATTAAAAAACAGTGTTAAGTAAATGAAGCAACATAAATAAACAACAGTACTCTTTACGTAGTATGGTACACGATGCGTTTGTGAATAGCATGTATGTTCCCTAATGTGATTGTCATGTTTTTCTCTGTAGATCATGAAGGGAGATTTTAAAACGCCTAACAGTCTGAAGGGATATGTTCAGGTATATCCATTATCTTTAATATTAAAATGTTTTACAATTAGATACTAGTAGATCATTTAGATACAGTAGAGTTGACATGGAGAGTAGGATTAGGGTTGAACACAGGCTTGGAAAGGCAAATCAGAAAATTATTTGAAATGTTAAAATAATCCTGTGTTGTAAGGGATAATACTCAATCATCAATCCCTACATGCTAAAATTATTAAAACAAAAACTCTATTGCTAAAAAGGAAACAAATATTTTTTTTAAATCGCTATTTAGTAGATATATCCTCAATAAAAAAAAATGCATGCCTATTTAAAAACCACTTCCAAAAAGCTCCATATCTCTTGTTTGTAACCTTTGAAAGCTCTCCTCTTGTTTTTGACCAATCAGATGCTTCATCTCATTTTTAGCTTTTAAATAAGATAGTCTGGCAACTCAGAGAGGCTGCAGAAATGGGGAGAAGCAGGCATTCTTTGCTAAAGTGTGCTTGCCACTTATGTTAGCTCTGGCAACCAAGGAGGTGTTTCTGCAATTATTTATAAAAGTGAATATTTTAAATAGAATTATATACTGCAATTCAAATCAGCATATCATGACACATTCAGAAAGCTGACTTGCTTTATGTTTGTGAAGTGTTCATTTAAAGTCTCTGTCTCTAAAAAGAACTCCACCTTCTGTTAACAGTGAGGATCAGTGTTGTGACACTTCAGGAAGAGACACGCATGGAACAGCCAATATAAAAGTTGTATCTTCCTTATGTCTAATTTGGAAATTATGCATAGTAAAAAATTAAACGATTATAAAAATATAAAAAAAAGTAACAGATCCGCTTTACGATATCATTTGCATTGGCAATGATAACTTACAGACTATATTTTGTTTTTTCAGATAAATCAGAATAACTCTTCCCACTGGTGACTTTTAATTCAGGTATGATTTTTCACACTCTGCTTTCAATATCAATTATTTGTTCTGTCCAATTATCATTTGTCTTACCTGAAATTATAATATTCAAATAATATAACAAATTAAGGCAGTGTCATAAAGCTACAAATAAATTGACAGCATGATTTTCCAAATGTTGTTAGAGTGGACAGGCAGCCCTCTTTGAAACTTTAGCACGCTATTTACATGACAGCAAGTAAACACAACTTTCTTCAAATAACTGATTTTTTTCCCTCTAAATCTTTATTCTTATTTAACCTCTGTCTGCCTTAAGACTCGTCTGGCCTTTTCCAATAATACTGAATGAACAGTTTTGCATAGTGCTCATTATTTATTGCTGTTTGGAACCATAATGGCTATCTAACTTGTTACATGCCATGACAGTGGAGATGGTAAAGAATATAAGCTTTCAGTATTTTGGCAGTGGAGTAGTCTGTGGTTTGCTGCTTTCACTATTTGGTAGAATTACCAACATTAAAAACTGTTATACATTTAGCCAAAACTCAATAGTTTATCTAACCTGTTCAGCTCTTGACTGTGATGATGGTTTATGCTGTTTGCAGTGCATTGTCTGTCCACTTCACCTTTACATATCTGCATGAGAACAAAATTTTGCTTGTAACTACACCACATTTACTGATATTTACTATTGTCATGTTTTAAATATAATTTTCATCTCAATGAAGTGGTCTGGGTGCAGTGGTCCATTAGTTTTAACAGTGCATCTAAAGCATTGCTATTTTTAGTAGATACATCAATGCTTACTATGCAGGATTAAATACACATCTAGTGGCTCTCTCCCTGACACTAGAGGTACTTAACTAGAACCCACTAGAGACGCTTCCTCTTTGGGAGCTAAGGAAGGGCCTCACACGGCTCACCTCCAATAGGCTTTCTGCTCCGTTTATAATCATTGGTGTGACATCAGAGGAGGCAGACTAAGCAGCTGCATGGACTCCATCTTCTGGGGTAAGAAAGGTAAGTAAAACTTTTTTTTTTTTTCTTCAAACTTATATTTAGATTTAGGGGGTATCTGAAAGCACAAATAGGACAACGCTTTAGTGTTAGGAATACAGGCTGTGTTAATGCTCGGCTGACTTATTGGGTCAGTGCGTACAGCTTGCAGCCTTTTGTTGCTGTAAATTCACTCCAGGGGATCAGCTGAACACACATCTGGCTTTATTCCTTTTGCACCTGGAACGTCTCTGCCTAAAGAATTCACAGGAGTTCCTTGTAATGTTTTTTTTTTTGTCCCATGTCCCATTTCAAAATAATTTTAAATGTCTTTCTGGGAAAATCTTGGATAGTGGGCAATAGTAAGTCATGCATAATTTTTTTTATTAAGTGAAAAAAGGAATAAAATATACATTCCAGTCAGATTTTTTTTTTCTTCAAGAATATTTAGTGTTCCTCTCCCTTCCCTTCCCCCCCCTTCCCTGTCCCTTAGTATACCACTACCATCCTTTCCCTGTCCGTTAGTGGTCCTCTTCCCTCCCCTTTCTCCCTCCCTGTCCTTTAGTGTGTGTGTGTGTGTCTCCCCTCCCTCCTTAGTAGTCCTCTCCCCTCCCTGGTGTGCCTCATTATCTCTCTTGTAGCGTGGCCAAGCACTACCTCTATCACTTCAGTTGGAGTCCATTTTATTCCACATATATTGTTCTTTGCAATGGCTTATTCCTTGACATGTCATGGGGGATAATCCCAGGAAATTAACTGGAATTGGTTAATGAAGTCATACATGTACTGATAAACAGGTATAGCCTTGGGGTCAATAATCACCAGTTAAGGGCCACTATAGTCACCAGAACTATAGCTTGATGTAGTTGTTTTGGTGAGTATAGTCTGTCCCAGTAGGCATTTTAATTTAAACTCTGCCTTTTAGACACTTTCTCCACGGAGATGCATTGATGCGGATTGGCCAAGGTGTTGTTTGGAGATCATCAGAATTGTCTATCTCTGAAAGCATTGTGATTGGCTGAGATCATCAATTCTAATCATTGCCTACTTTGCAAGAAAATATTGCCAAACAGTTTGTTAGCACCTGATAAACTACATTGTCATTTTGAGCAAAACCACGCAGAGTACAAAGATAAAGACATTGCCTTTTTTAAGCGAAAACTTCAGGAATATCATAAGACTAAACAGTTTATGAGAAAATATTTGAAAATTATAATTAAAAGGTTTGTGCTATGGTACTAATGTAGACACTAAAATATATACAAATTACAGATTAAGCAACAGTGCACATACAAAAATACAGTTTTAAATTTTACAAGGCTACTTATAATCGCATATTTCAGCAAATATGGGGATTCAGTTCCACCATATGGCCATATTGTGTTGCGTCCACCACTACTCCACAGTACCCCAATAGTGAAGGGTGCTCAATGTAAAAGGAATCTGGTTTGGAATCCAAAAATACATGGAGAAAAGGGAAAATGTAGTGGTCTTTACTTTTTTGTTTTTGATCTATTATCTTTACGTGTATTCAGCAGATCATAATTTAATCTACTAT